CAAAGGGGAGGTGCTCCCCAAAGCGGGAGTGGCTTCCAAAGAGGAGGTGCTCCCCAAAGAGGGAGTGGCTTCCAAAGGGGAGGTGCTCCCCAAAGAGGGAGTGGCTTCCAAAGGGGAGGTGCTCCCCAAAGAGGGAGTGGCTTCCAAAGGGGAGGTGCTCCCCAAAGAAGGAGTGGCTTCCAAAGAGGTGCTCCCCAAAGGGGGAATGGCTTCCAAGGAGGAGGTGCTCCCCAAAGAGGGAGTGGCTTCCAAAGAGGAGGTGACCCCGAAAGAGGAAGTGGCTCCAAAAGAGGAGGTGCCCCCTATAGAAACAGCCTTTGCCCAAAAAACACATCCTATCAAGCCGTCTCCAGACTCCCAAGAGACACTCACGCTCCCCTCCTTGCTTCCGCAAAACTACACGGAAAACAAGAATGAGGGAGTCAATGTAACGTCGCTGAGGGGCGAGGTGGAGTCTCTAAGGAGGGCGCTGGAGCTGATGGGGGTGCAGCTGGAGTGAGTGGGTAGCGGTGGGGGTTGTGGAAGGTAGGGTCCCCCCTAGCCCTCACCTGCCCAGCGCCTCACCTCCGCCTTGGCCCGCAGGAGGAAGCTGACCGACATCTGGGAGGAGCTGAAGAGCGAGAAGGAGCAGCGCCAGCGGCTGGAGGTGAGGCGCGGGTCCTGGCGGGAGCGGGCTGGTGGCGGGTGGCCCCCTGACACAGTCTCCACCTCACTCCCGGCCAGGTCCAGGTGATGCAGGGGACCCAGAAGTCCCAGACCCCGCGCATCATCCACGCGCAGACGCAGACCTACTGAGGGCGGGCCTGGGAAGGGACCGCGGCCCGTCCTGGCTGGGGCCACCCACGTCCTTGCACACGACTTTGGGAAACGCGAGAAAGTAAACTCTGCCTCGCAAGGGGCCACGCCGGTCTGGTCGCTAGGGGCGGGGTCTGCGCGGGGGCAGGGCCTGGGCCTCCGCATTCCTGACGGTCCCTCCCGGGCACATCTGTCCAACATGTGGCTCCCATTACCGTTCCCAAGGCCTGCGCGCGGCTATTTTTATCCACCGGATGGTGAGGGGCGGGGGATGGTGTCTCCTTCGGACGCCAGCAGCGCGCTGGAGAAATGGCGGGCAGGAGGGGCCCAGGCGGGGTCGGGCTCTGACGCCCGGCCTAGATTCCGGAATCCAGCTGTGCGCCGGGGAGGAGCCGAGCGGGCCTTCTCGCGAGCTCGGACCCCTCCCAGCTGGCCTCCCTGTCCGCTCAGAGGGACCCCTGCCCTCTCGTTTGAACGCACCTCGGTGAAGACGTGAACGGCCCAGCCCAGCACGCATGCTTACACCGGGGCTAGTAGGACCTTAGCCTCTAGGTCAGGGTCCCGAGGCCTGGTGTGTGTGTGTCATTGCAATGTATGAACCCAAGGCACTGTGGGGACAGGGCTACGTGTGCCCAGGCGTTTGCCGGTAAGGAATGCGTTGTGAGTGAGTAATGCGCGTGCACTTGCTCTGTGTGTGAGGCTGGGTGCAGGCCTGTGGCCTGCCTTTCCGCTGGCTGTGAAGTGAACGCGGGCAGATGTGCTGTGTCGTCGGGTTGGTGGGTGGGGGTGGTGCAGCTAGGGTAAGGGAGTCAAGGGGGGGCCTCAGCCCTAGGACCCCTGCGTGGCAGGAGCCTGGGGGCCGCTGGGGGCAGGAGTAACAGAGGGAGAGACTGAGTCACTGAGAATGCAGCTTTCTTTCATTTGGTCACTTCACCTCTTCATCACCCCCAGAGAGGGAGTGGGGACCCTGCATCCTGCCCCCTCCCCGCCCCTGGGGTCTTCTGGCAGGACTGGGGAAGAGAGACGCGTAGGGGCTGGCGGTCCACGCCCAGTAGCACCTGGGGGCCGTGGGGGCCGAGGCAGTCCAAAGGTCCGGAGCAGGTCTGGGCTCATGTGCAGGTCCGGTACCCCAAGCGACTTGCAGCGGGACCCGGGGCCCATCAGTAATAGTGCATGCGGCCCAGGGTGCCCGCGCCCGTGGCCGTGGGGCTGGGCCCCA